CTTATAAGTGGGAAAAAGAAGAACTCTGAGAATGACTTTAAGAGTCGAATATGGATTGAATCTAGTGTGAATAGTTACAGAGATACACTGAGGGTAGAGTCTGGAGACGATGAAAATCTATGGGAAATGTAGGGTGGTAAGCGACATTTACGTATATGTACACTTTCTTTCGGAGAGCAAATGCATCACATGGCCTCACACTCGTTTTCTGAGTAGACTCTTGACTATGCCTTTGCTAAGGGGTCTAATTATTGTACATGTTGTATCTGTGTGCATGGGCTAATCAGTGACTATTTACCTAGTTGAGTAAGACCTCAAGAAATGTTGGAGACATCGATATCTGTGATCACAGTATACTAAAAGTGCGTATTAGAATGAGAGAACGGATAATGGATAATGAATTGTGAATTATGTGTGTGTGCGAATATGTTTGTAATGTGAATGTGAAAATGAGTATGTTGTATTTATACTTTAAATTATGATTTTGTGATGTAATGTTTGGAAAAAGATAGACTAGACACTCATCCTTACTAATATTTTCAAGAAATCAGGATGATGGAACTTTAGGGAAGAGTTAGATTAATAGATAGATCGGTACATAATATGTTAAATTATGTATTTAATGAATATCAAAGACTATGTTACTTTAAATTTGTTGTTCTTACGGAAAATGAACCTAGGACTTTTGTTACGTTAGAAATGGATTTCTTTTTTAGTATTCCGTTTGATTTTCCTAGGAGTAGAATACATTAGGAGTAGAATTCATCAGACTCTATGTATTTATATGTATAGTGGTACGGTTAGGACTCTGGCAGCTCTTACCCATCTATTCACCTATCATGATCATGACCATCTCGGAAGATCGTCCTGATGGACCTTTGAGCAAGTGACTGACACAGAGGTTACAGCCGATTCAGACGATCGTTACCTGGGATTAGATGATGATCTGAATTCGGATGATTTAGCTGAGATAAAGAGTTGAGATGTTGGTGATGAATATAACCGGTCTTCAGTACTTGGTTATGGGGAATACTGCTCTAGGACTTGAACTTGACTATTTGTTGTAATTATTTTGGTTATGTAAATATTGTTTTAAGTCTTACATATTTTGACAAACAGTTTGTAAACTTTTATATTTGATATATGTATTATATATTCAGGTTTTTCATGGAGAACACTAAATGTTAGTTGTGATATTTATTTATTTATTTATTTATTTTCTCATTAATTTATTATTGTTGTTACATTAGCACTACAAAGTTTGAACTTCTCATCTACATGCTTATATTTATAAGAAAACTTCACTAATTTTATATAATAAATTTATTATATCTAGGAACTGAGGTTTTATTTTAAATGATTAAGAATAAGATGTACATAGTACGGAGTTAAAATTTTTAGTGTGTTACAATTTGGTATTAGAGCAGTTCATTCAAAGCAGCCTGGGGTATGGGATTAGTTCATCGAGATGATGTGTTATTGATTAGGAATTGTTTGTTAATACGACCTAGTGGTTGTAAATTATTTGATTTGTTGAGATGTTTGGAATGTTTATATGATTTGAATTTGATATGAAATGTGTTGGAATGAAAACTAATATGTGAAATTTGATTTTTATAGAAATAGAACTATGACAGGTAGACATAGACCTGCTGGTGCTACGAATGAGATTTTGGCCCCATGACGCAAGTCTTAGAGACCTTAGTGCATAACCAAGATGCGGAGCCGGCAGAGTATCGTTGACTTTTTTTGTTCATGGAAAATTTAATCCTGAAGATGCCTAGAGGTGGATAGCGGATACAAAGAAAATTTTCAATGCGATGGGATGTCGAGAGGAGTATAAGGTGGTTTATGCCACCTTTATGTTGGGAGGAGAAGCGAAAAACTAGTGAATGTTTGTCAGTCAAACTCTACTACAAGAAGAAGGGTATTTCAAAATTAATATGTATCAAAAGTTATCATTGGTAATCATATGAAAAATTTACCATATCAAATACACAAATTATGAGAAAAAAATAGTTTAAGAGCCAAGACACGAGCAATGAATGGACAATGGGGACTATAATATGTATGAATCAAGCTATTAAAGAAGCCTTTGAAAGTAATTGAATTTGTTAAGCAAATTCATGCAATGACAAATATTATTGTTGGAAGTTTTGTTAAGATAATTTGTAAGAGACTGCAAATTTTAATGTTACTAGCCTTTTTTGTATGATAAAAAGTACTACTTAAAGTATATAGTTTAATTAATTGCTTACTTAATATATTTTTTTACATGAATACTATTGTCATAAATTTAGAGTTTGTTTGGGAACACATTTTAATTAACCTATTATTAAATAAACTATTTTGTATGAATCATCATACCTTAAATTTGTTCATAAAATTTTATATAATGAGCTATATTAAAAAACTTATCGAAGTACAAAATAAAACAACAATAGTTATAAATATTTGCAAGCATTTGAAAATAAAAAAATTGTCATTAGAATCAATTTAAGAAATTTGTTTTGAAATTTTGATAATAAGATAGAGTAATTAAAATGTTTGAAAATAGCATCATAAAAAAATTGAAATAAATTTGACGACCTTCCATCTTATTCTATTCATTGTTCTTACAAATGCAATGATTAGTTAACTATTTTATGATAATTTAGCTTAAACTCAAATACTTTTGCTGAAATTATAAAAAAGGTTCAATATCATTCTAAAAAATACTAGTTATACCATTAACAAATGAAAGATGTGTTATTCAACAAGCATTTCAGCTATTTAGTTAAGATATTGAATATTAAAAAGTTTTACCGAATACATTCTTAGAGTTAATGTTAACTTTTATAATTTATAATTGCAATGTATGTCCAAATTAAAATTATAAAATAAAAAAAATTTAAAATTCATACAAAAATATACTTTTTATACTTTGTTATTTTGAGTTTGAGATTTGTGACCATAACGTATGACGTAATTAAGTAATATGATATAAAATGAATTAAATTGCATTTAGTTGAACTATTGGTATTTTATGGTGATTAACAAATAGAAAAAAATCTATTTTAATTTTAACTTTAAATATATAGTTTAGGTGAAGATAATAATGAGTTTATAAAATAAAGTAGCTAATAATTTGTTATTTTGTTATGTAAATGATAAAGACTTACTATTTCACTAAAGCTAAACAGACATCGCTTAAGCTGTAAATATACCACTTAAGTGACTACGTCCCTAGCTTAAGCGGGTTATGTATCGCTTAAGCTTATAATACTAGCTTAAATTAACAAGTTTAAACTTAAGTGATAAACACCTAGCTTAAGCAAAATAGATATAGCTTAAGTAAAATAAGTATAGCTTAAGCGAATTAAATAGAGTTTTAGCAAATAAATTCTAAGTTAAACTAAAAATATCGTGCTTAAGCTAAAAGTATTAGCTGATACTTGTGTGAAAAATTATGCATTGTTCTAAAATGTAATAAAGAGTTAAGCTACATATGAATAACTGAAGCAGAGATAAACTACTTGAAGTGGATTTGTTTTCTATGCCTAAGGCTTTTTGTATGATATTCAATTAAGTGATTATGTATGCGCTTTAGCGAAAGTGTAATGGTAAGTTGCGAAACTACACACATTTTCTTTGCTGATTCAGGAACAACCTTGAAAGATTGAGATTGTATAACTTCACACTGAACTTATTAAAAAAATTGTCACTAAGCTATGACATTTCATGTTTTAAGAAAATGTTTGGAACTTTGTGCTTGCCAAGTATATTTTATTACTATCATTTTTATTGATCATAACATAAATTTAAGCCTATTTATAGAAAAATAATTAATATTTTTAAATAAAATATCACTTTAACCGAGGTATAATTCACTTTAGCTAAACTATATGCTTAAGTAAATTGTAATGAGTATTTAGATTAATCTCTATCTTAGATTAGCTTAAGTCACAACTGATACCCTTAAGCGAATGTGTGTTAGATTTATATATATCTTTAATTTGCTTAAGCGCATGGGTTGTGGCTTAAGCTAATTTTGACACAAAAAATTTAAATTCATCTCTATCTAAATTTAACTTAAGTAGATAACTCTAGCTTAAGCTAAAATTACACTCAAGTGAATTTTAGCGTTTTTCTGATTCAACAAAATCTCTTTAGTTATTATATCTATTCTGATCAAACCAAAATGATAATTTTTTAGATAATTGAGATGAGTATATAATATTTTCAAATAGGAAAACCTTACAATTGAAAGTATAACAATAAAAAAGGAAAATGATTATATAAGTTTAGGATATATATGAGAAACGAGTTTGCATATAATTAAGGAGGAGAAATAAAAAAGAATTATAATAGAAAAAAAAAGAAATTAAACAAAACTTTACGATAATATTAATTACTTGACTTCATTAAATTTTTTATGTTGAATATATCTTTTTAAACTTTTATCAAGTAAATTTGAATTATAATTATTCTATTTATCATTGAACTTTACATTAGAAACACAAAACAAATTCTTAAACTTCTTCAAAAATAAAAATAAGAGTGAATTTGAAAAAATATAAAATAATTTCATGTGAATAAATAATTATATTTTTTTTAACTTAAAAAAATTATGTTAAAAAAATAGTATAAAAGATTAATATCTTTTAACTATAAAATTTATTAAAACTTAATTTTTAAATTTTTAAATCCTACTCTAACAAATTATTTTGCTGAATTATTTAATATACTACTTCATGCCAGTCTTCACCAATATCTTATAATTAACCTTAAAACTTTATATAAACACGTTTTTTATTAAAATTTGTCTCTCGCAATCCTTCAATGCAAAATGCTCTTTCTATGTAAAACTTCTGACAATCCGAACCTTCTGATCAATTTTGAGAGTAAAACGACATAGTTGAATCGACTCCCAAAGCCAACAGCGGGGCCCACAACATCACAATGATCGTGCCGACCCCAGATTCACCCAAATACCAGTCAGTGGCAAGTTCTTGAGAAAACAGACAAATAGCTGGCGCAAGTTAGCGCCATCGCTGACCTGCCTGCCTGTCCAGACAACGTGCTATCGTGCGCCTCTCTCTCGTCCATGAAGAACCGGTGCTTCCATGGGAACCAAATCACTGAAGAGGCGATTTCGTGAGCCGCAAAACCCTCCCATGGCTGGCTCGCCTCCTCCGCGCCGCAAGCCTCGCTTTCACGTCACAGCTTCTGTGCTCCTGTCCGCTTTGCTCGTCGTTTCCGTCATCGCTCTCTTACTCCTTTCGTCGAACAAGTGGCGGGCGCTCCAACGTGCGGTTTCCTACGAAACTGTCACTGTCGTCAATGCGTTCCCTCACGATCCACAAGCCTTCACTCAGGTCAATTTTATTTGTGCATAATCTGCTTTCGGTTTTGGTGTTTTTTGTTTGTTTTTAATGTTTTAGGGGGTAACAAGATCGATTTCGAAGTTACAAGAAAACTTAAATGCCTGTTTGGATTCACGCTTGAATGGTTATAGATCCACGTTACTAGTTATGTTATTCGCTGGAGTTTAGATTTATGTTTACAAGTTTTTTTAACGAGTTTCTTATTATGTGTTTGAATTGACATCAAATTCACTTAATGGTGGATCCATTTCAACATTACAAATTATAACTTTCACACTAAAATGTGATATAACGTGATTTTGACTAGTTTCAAAATGTACACTTAGTACATTGTTGGCATTGTTATCATCCGATTTAAAATTGAAATTTTATCTGAGTAACTGGTCAACTGCTACTTTCATCTCGGTAACTAAGTATCAAGTTCATGCTAATTTTTGAATCCAGAATGGCATGCATGGTAATTATGAAACAGCATATAAGTTTTGTCCTTTCAGTTATTGTTTGATGTGGCTGGGGATTCTTTAATTTCATTTTTCATTTATTTAATTTTATTCGTTTGTTTATTGATTCATTTGATATTTCAATTCAACTTTTAGTTTTTTCTGGTATAACAAGAAGTGCCAAGGAGTTGACAAACAATTTTGATAAAATGCTATGTTTATGTTCACCTGATGGTTGGTGAAAAAGTTGTTAGGGTCTCTTTTGTTCCATGCGGCTATGGGGTTAGAGATGTTAACTTGGGTCTTGGTTTAAATGCGAGAGGGATATAAGAAATCATCGCCATAACTTTTTTTTATTTTTCAAAAGGGAAGTGAATTCAAGGTTAGGTATTTTAGTTAAGTCATGTAGGAAATTTGGTGAAAACTCTGGGTTAAATATCCTGTTGTGGAAATCTCGTATTTATTCAATGAAAAATGGTTATAAAAAAGAAGCCATTATGAGGTCTTTTGAAAGAAATTTTAAACCTAAAGTTTCCAAATAGGCTGCTTGTAAGTCCAGTGGATTTTCAATTGAATTTGAACAAACAGTTGGCTTCTGTCTGCAAAATGAAATAAAGGTTATTAAAAAGAAGCCATTATGAGGTCTTTTGCACTTGGTCTTTCTGATATTTGCAAATATTCAGCTTTGTGCTAACGAGAGAGTTTATGAGATAGGTAGTCAAAGTTTGCATCGCATCATAATGAAATGCCAAGACGTTGGTTTGGGTATTGTTTACTTTGTTGCTAAAGGACGGAAAAAATGGCTTTTTCTTCTGCTTCTTTTGATTTCAGGGCCTTCTTTATTATGAAAATGACACCTTTTTTGAGTCAACTGGGCTTTATGGGAAGGTAATGGTACTCATCTTCTTTACCTCGATTGCCTTTTTCTTTCTCCCTTTTCTTTCTTTAAATGTTTAGCTTTTTGCCTTATTTGTTTCCTTTTCACAGTCGGAGTGGAATGAGAAAATTTGTTCATTCAGTCATCGGCTTCATTTACATCAATTTGTTCATTTTGTTTAAAGAATGTCCATAAAGTTTAGATGAAGGTTAATCTTGGTGCACTGCTATAGTTTACTACCTTGTGACTTGATGGTTATGGGTTTCTGCAGAAGAAACAACCTTTTTGCTGTTGGGATAAGGCTGTGCACATCTGATCCTCTGCCCTACCCTACAATGGTAGGAGTCTTGTGCACTGGGCTGCCCTGTAACAATAATATAGGATTTAGTTGGAATGAGTAATGTTATAAATTGAACATCTAACCCTCCCTTGTGCATGATAGAGTGGTTTGTGAGCTAGTGTCTCATTTGCTTTTGTAATTTGTTAATATTTCTTCTGATCCTTATAAAAGAATTAGGACTCTGTATTTTTGGGTGTTTTCTCATGTAAAACTTATTTTTAGTTACCTACTCATTCTCCTACACGACGCATATTTGATATTTTTATAAACCCATCTGGAAATTTGAAGCTCCCGAGGTCAAATCCTTTGTCTACACTCTAGAGTGCTGATCTTAACTGGATTAACACTAATGACTAGCTACAAAAGCACAGACCTCTCTATGTTTTGTCTTCCACTATGCGATTTTAGTCTGGAAACCAGGGATCATCTCTTTTTGCTCTGTTTCACTGTGAATTTTCTTTAGAATAAGCTGTTTGTGATTTTTGGTAATCATGGGGTATGCCATCTGGATTTGCCTTAGTTTCTCCTTAATCCTTATTAAGGGGTTTGGTTATAGAAAAGAAGCTAATGATCATGTGGCAGTGCTGTCTTTGCTGTGTTTTCTGGTGTTTATTGCTAGAAAAGAATGCGTAGACTAATGAAGGTCACTTTTTGAATCTTGTACTTCATTTGGGATAGGGTTACTTTTTTTAGCTTCACTTTAGTGTTGTGCTCATGTTTTCTTTGAGGTGTCTCTTTGTTAGACATGCAAAAGAAATTGCATACTTTCCTACGTGACTCATTCTCTTATGTTTTAGTTTGCTCATTTCTTGTGATAATGTCTTATTCTCCTTTCTATTCTTCTATTTTTAGTTAGAAGAATTTATTTGTTTCAAAAGAAAAATGATTTTCTATTGTGGTCACTATGTTCTTATCAGTGGTTAGTTACTAATACTGTATTCTATAGGAGTTTCTTTCATATAATTCTAGATGGTTAATTCATGACTTCCTGTTAATTCAGATTCTTCATAACTTGGGTCACCTTTTCCTGGAATTGCCATCATGATTAAAATCTTATTCATTCTGAAAGTATTGTTCTTTGCAATGCTTTCTCAATAGTCATTTAAGAATAACTTATGCTTAAATGTAAGATGGAATATAAATATAACCAGTACTGGTGCCATCTATTAGGTAAGACTAAAGTGTTTTCAAGCTTTTTTTATTGTAAAATTTATTTTGATAATCATGAATATGATTCGGTTTATTTTCTAATTATATTCTAATTTTTGTTTTCATAGACATACTATTAATGTTATTTTTAATGTAAACTATTGCATTTAACCTTTTAATTATTATTTATTTGTTGTTTCAGTCATCAGTCCGAAAAGTAGCTCTTCATACTGGGAAGGTACAGACAGACCCCTGGTTCTTGAACTCTTCCGTGTACTTGTTCTTATACTCAATTGAATTCTATTATTCTACTATTTTACAAATGACAACTGGTAGACATCAAACAATACTGTTATGTCCAGAGACAAGTTCTGCTATTATGCATGTCGTTGTCATTGCAAGTTTATAGACATAGTTGCTCTGACAAGAATTGATTATATACTGAAAGGCATTTATACAGTATGAGCAATTTTAGACAAGGAAGTCAGGTCAATGGTTAATTGCCAGGTTGCTTGCTGCAGTTTGCTTGTTCATGTTGACATCAATTTCAATAATGGATTAAACTTTACTCAATGTTGTTTCTGGATCAAGTTACTTGATATTTTTCTTTAGTTTTTCCAGTTTTTTATGAACACAATGTTTCCTTCACTGAAGTGATTTCTAATTTCAATATGAATCCTACTTTGAATTCAGGAAAAGTTATTACACAAGGTAGCAATAGCATGCTTATTGTTAGAATATATGAAAATATCTTATAATATTTTGGAGTGAACAGGGTGTCCCAAAAGCTTAAATTGTTAATTGACAAATGAATGATTTTATATGATATTTCTAACATGTTCCCCCATGCAAGTGTCCCTTGGGCTTGAAGCATGGGTAATGCACATGTCCACCTGCCTCATGATGAAATTAAACTTTTTATTAGAAGAATGGACTTTAAATCACTTGGTCATAGAGGGTGTGATATTGTGTCATGAACCAATTTTCCCAAAAGCTTGAGATGTTAAGTGAAGACACATGAATGATTTTATATAGTATTTCCAACATTTCTTATATTTATTATTTGTGCTACATGCAGGTTGAGAATCTTAAGCAGATGGATGATTCTTTATTTGGGGAAGGTTTAACTCTCCTCAATAATAGGTGTGAAATGCAAATTATGTTGCATTTTGTTTTTTTAATGTGAATTACTAACTTAATCAAATCTTCTACTGCCAATTAATTGAGAGATGGAAAAGAAAAAGGAAAAATTGACCATGTATTTCAAAAGTTGTTTCTGGCTGAGTATAATCTTTTATTGCTGTTTCTTTCAGAAAGACAGGACATTGTCTTTAATCTTTTGACATTTCCTTCTTCTACCTTCTAAATAGCTTCTGTGGCATCAATTAAAACAGATAAAATATTACTGTATAATTTCTTTAAACCAATAAAATATTACTGTATAATTTCTTTAAACCACTTGAAAATTGATACATTTTTTTAGCCACTTATTGAATTGTGTTGAAATTAAGGGTTTAAAAATACAGTTTCCTATTGCTTGCTGTTAAATGTAAAAAGCTGATTGCAATCATGCAAGAGAATGAGCCTATACTGTGCTCTCATGTTGTTTGGTATGATAATAAGTGATTACCTGACTTTATCTTTTTATGTAACTTTTAATTTCTGTTGGATTTCAAATTAATCTTTGATAGTTCTAAAACACTAAATATTTGTCCATTTTTGTGGTAAGACTTGAAAACTGCATAGTGACTGGTTTTCTTCAGTGTTGCAATTTTATCTCATTGCTTCTGAATGTTGTGGGGGAATGTTCAATTGCTTACTTAATTCTATCCAGATATAATGTTTTTTTGGCTTAAACACTTGATAGAGTCATTTAGTTATTTCTACTCTTACATGTGATGTTTGGATTTCTTTTAATGTTGTCTGTTGCACTTTCTGTAGGCTCTTCCAAGTAACGTGGTTGCAGCAAACTGGTTTCATATATGACCTGAAAAATTTAAGCCAAGTTTGTTGCTTTACTTTCTCACTCATGTAATCTTTTGTCTTTGTCATGGTTTGAATAACTCATACTGTTTTGATTCAATGGGACTCTACAAAGGAAAGTGACAGGATAATCAAATTATGGTTGATTTCTGTCTTTGGTATTCTGCACAATTATAATCTCCTTAAAGTTTGTACTGTATAATCCTACATTTTTTCATTTTAATTTAGTTTTATTAAAACCCTAAACTGATTTGCTTCTTGGAAGGTTGATATCATTAAAATAAATTGAATATTCATACAAGCTGTTTGTATGTAATCTTGGCAGTGTGTTATGCTAGAGTTGATACCCAGGTGTTGTTTACATGGAATCATTTTGAAGATATCAATCTTGTTTTTGTTGTTTGGTAATTTTTACTGTGATGCTCTTCAATGCTGTGGGGAGAATGCTCCAAAGCACCTGTTAATGTAGCTAGCCTCAATGCTTCCCACACTTCTTGCCATCTATGCAAGTTGGTTACAACCCATGTAATCCCTCTTTTACAATTTTTGTAGCTAGGGACATTTAATCATGATATGAAAGATGGTTGGGGTCTGGCAACTGATGGAAGAGTCCTGTTTGGAAGTGATGGAAGTTCAGCATTGTATCAAATTGATCCTCAAACTTTTAAAGGTTTGTCTCTCTAAGGAAATTCTATTCCTTTCCTTCTACCATTTATATGAAAAACCCCTTTACAAAACATTTTTGTGTCTAGTTTTCAAACTCGACAATACTTTGTTTAGTTTGTCTGTTTTTACCTTGCATTTTAATGGAACTTATTTTGTGCTCTTTGATGTAGCTGTATCAAAACAAGTGGTCTACTATAAAGGTCATCAAGTACACAATCTCAATGAATTAGAATATATTGATGGTGAAGTTTGGGCAAATGTTTTTACGGTATGTATTTGTGCGATCATTTATGATTGTAGTGGGAGAAAGTACGTATGCATGATGTCTATGGTCAAAGGTTCTCTGTTAGACTGGATTTTGTTTGAGGTTGATATTTCTGTGTAGACTGACTGCATTGCAAGAATCTCTCCCAATGATGGTGGTGTTCTTGGATGGATTCTCCTCCCAAATTTAAGGTATGACATATTTTTCCTTCTCAGCATGAAAACTAATTACTTACTGTTTACATGTCGTTAATAATAAATAAGTGAAGTAAATCCCCAGGTTGGTTTTCAACCATTTGCATCCGTCAAATTGGGTCCCTAATGATTTTTATTCAGAGCATGACAACAATTTGGTCTAGTAAGTAGTAAATTTGGACTGTGATGCCAAAATTTTGGACATCGATTTTCATTCATTGCATGACATCATTAGGGTCACATTGATTAATAATTTTTTGAGGAACCAAATTAGAGGTTACTTTCATAAGTATCTTTGTATATTTGTTGCTTAAAGTTACATCTAATCTATCATATGCAGGAAAGAGCTTATTGAAGCAGGCAATCATGTAAGGAGCTAAACCTTTTCACGTCTAGATATAAGATTTTTGTCCCATTATTCTGTGTATACGTGTTGCGTTTCTATATTGCACTGAATCAACTTTAATTGATTGAGATCAAATTGTCACTAGAGGTAGTTGTTACACATGATTAATTGCTTATGTGTTGATCTATCATATTTTAGGGTATTGATGTTTTGAATGGGATAGCATGGGATGGTGAACAGAAACGGATTTTTGGTAAGCTCCAGTGTTTTATTTTGTTAAATTATTTTGACATTTGTTATTCAAACATACTATTTCCATTTCATCCGAGATTGTTTTTTTTTTAACTATTATTGTTAACGAGACATCTATAAATGGTATGCACAACATACCAAGTTCAACAAATTAGATGTTTGGATTTCGGTTGAAAAGTCCCAAACCACGGTTTTGGACATCCCAACTGAAATCAAAACAAACACTTGATGTTTTACTTGAAAATGTTAGAAATGGTATGCACAACATACCAAGTTCAACAAATTAGTATGTCAAAGGTTTTATTACTTTCCAGTGAGGAATTCCCTAGCAAGCATCAATAAACGAAAGTTAATGTTCTTGCTTTTGCCTGCTTCCATTCTCAAAAATTCTATGTAACCCGTGCCTTGCTTGCAGTGACTGGAAAACTGTGGCCAAAGTTGTATGAAATCAAGGTTTCTCCTATAAAGAAACCAATTGAAGAAGGCTTCATTGAGCAGCTTTGCTTGCGTAGGCCTTTCAATTTCCATGATTTTAGTTGACCAGTAATTACTTTTGTACTTTTAATCCCATATCAATTTATCAGTTAATATACTATTTTAGTCTAATATACTCGGATAGCCACTTTTTTGTTACTTCTCCTATTCCATGTAATACTCTCTATTTGAATTTTAAATCGAAAATTGAGATCTGATTTTTTGGTTTACCTTTCTTCACATTTGGTAAACCAATCAAACTTCATCAAGATAGCGTTTTTAAGAATATTATCAAACGAGAGCATTTTTTAGGTTTAATTATTTTTTAATCATGCCAAGTGATTCTTTTTTATATTATGCGTTTAATTTGTTTAATTTTATATTAATTTAAAAGTTGAATATATCATAATTTATTTATTAATTTTATTTAATATAATAAAATGTTTATTATTAATAATTATGTTATTTACTAATTTAAATTTATAAATTAAATTAAAATTTAAGATTATCATTCAATTTTATTTTAATTATTTATTTAATTTTTAGTTTAATAATATTTGTGCAATGCATGAAAAACTAACTTGTTGAAAAGAAAATGGAAGAGCCAATGTTTTAATAGAAAATATTAAATTAGTAAAATAAATTTTTTGGCAAAAATATTTATTTTTAATTGGTGATAATGATTGCTTTAAAGAAGAAATATATTAGTGAGTATCTGATGCAATTGTAAGGATTTTTTTTTTAAATCTATGCAAAACCAAAAATATAGAGTTAGAGAATCAAAAAGATTGTGTGCGCGTGTGTATGCAAGAGAATTGCAAATTAAAAAAAAATTAAAAAAATTAAAGGTAAATGTCATAACAAAATAATAAATTATCATATACAGAAGGAAAATACTCATATCACAGACGGTGGAGACTTGTTGTGTAGATGGGTCATGGGACATCAAATAATCATTTTTAATGAACCGAATTCTGCAATATTCTAGTTAATGAGACATTCGTTAGGGGATTGTTGATGGCGTTGTTTTCACTTCTATTTAACTCTCTACCCTTCTCTCTTTATCAAAATGATATGCAGCAAACTAGCAATGTAGCATACTACGCTTCTCTGTTGATTAAATTCTGGTTAGTGGTGAAAACGGTGGGAAAATATGATCTCAGCTTTTTTATCCACTATATCCGGTGGGTAGTTAACACCTGAAAATTTATCAAATTTTTATGTTCAAATAAAATCAATTTCATCTGTTAGCCATGGAGTTAAAAAATCATTTTTTATATTCTTTAATAAAAAAACCACACTTTCTGATATAATTTATGGCTAAAATTAATTTGAACACGCACCTTAATTATATATTAATTTTATCAAAACTGCTTTAATGCAATTTTAAAACAAACCACCCTTTATCTACTAGCTTTTAACGGAGCCAAAATCGGTTCAAGCTTCAATTTCCAATTTTCTCTGTCATTGTGCAGCTTCAGCTATCTTTCCCATTTCTTCCATTGTATCATCATAGATTCATAATCATCATGAAAAGCAAGCTTTCTATATTATCAACCCCATTCTTTGGCATCCCATTATGGGTTTTGCTAGTAACTTCCACTGCAGCACTCATTGTTGTGACATGTGTCATCCTATGCTTTTACTTCATTTACAATTCTTATAAAAAGTCGTACAAACGCCGTTTTTCTTTACCCAAATCAGTAGCATGCAAGCACCACCCTGATGATTTTAGCTCTTCCTCACTTGACAAGAGGTTATTATCAGCATCAGGGAAAAGAACTTTGAGAAGTTATCATCAGATCATAGTCATGAGTCGGTCCTACCAAGCCAGTTTTATCCACTTGCAAAGGGCATTGCAAAAGATGGGTATCTTAAAGGTTTGGAATCAAGTGGTAAATTCTGTCCCATAGCCAATGATGTGGGTAAGGTGTGTTACGTCAGCCTTAAGGAGATAGCGGATGCTACAAATGGATTGGCTAAAGAAAATGTGATTGGAAGTGGTGAAAATGGGATTGTTTATCTTGGTTTATTGCCAAATAATAGACGGGTGGCTGTGAAGAGATTACTGTGTGACAGGTACATTGTTGTTGCTTAAAATTCAAAATGATTTAATCTCCAAGCTTTTACCATTTATATTGGTATAAAAATCAAAAGCTAATTCAGTTGACTATGGGATGAACAAAATATGATTAATTATTAACAACTAACAAGAAATTTAACTCTTTTCTTTCAATGATGTTTAGAATTTGCTTTCTATCATGATTTCAATATTACTTTTCTAAATTTATGGTTTTATCAATTTAGTAAACACAGAAGCGAGTTTGTTTGAGCTGAATTTAATCAAAATCGTCAAGTAGGTTTGTCACACACAAAAGTATAAGGTTACTCATGTTATGTTCTGCTCGGCCAGATCATTTTAATGTTAACAGTTTTCGGTTTACTAAAATTTTATACTATGCAAAGTATCTAAGATCATCAATGTTAATTATTGTTATTTGCATACAGTTGAGATTTTGACGTGTTAATCTGGAAAATTGTTTGTTCTAGTTTGGTTTGATTGACTCTCGACTTGATCAAATAGACAAAGGTCTAGTTTTAACAAACATTTCCATAAACAGTTAGAGAGTAAAAAATAGAGGTAAAATAAATCAAAAATATTAAAATCAACTTACAAAAACTTTCTCATCTAACTTCACCTAAAGTTAAGGTGCATGACTTGATTTTAACTTATAGTAGAATTTGGATTCATTTTACATCTCTATTTCTTCTCCTACACATGCTTATCAGGTTGTTTACTCAATCTAGACCTATTTCAAACTCAAATGATACAAAATATGGCAAACAAGTATATTATGTCTCTAATTGTTTACCCGATTCATAGTGGCCAACCTGAGGAATATTTTGCATCTCAAATGGAAGCAATTGGACATATAAAGCACAATAACCTGGTCAAATTGCTTGGATACAATTCTGAGGGTGCTTGCAGGTATAAACTAGTTTTATCTGAAACAAATTGTGGCAAATATTAAAAATATTCAACACCAATGTTCTTCTTCTCACAGGATATTCATATCTGAATATGTAGAAAATGGAAATCTGCATTGTTGGCTTCATGAATTTCCTGGACAAATCAGCCCTCTATCATGGGATATCAGGTTAAACATTATCGATGATGTGGCAAAAGGGTGAGAACTAGATGTCAAATTTGTATGTTACAACTTTAACCATAACATAAAAAGTTTATTGTTAAATGATATGATCTAAGGACAAAGCACTTATGCAGACTGGCATACCTTCATGAAGAAGTTAAACCAAAGATTCTCCATGGTACCTTAAAATCCAGCAATATATTACTCGATCGCCAATGGAATCCAAAAATATCTGATTTTGGCCTTGCTAAGGTTCTCAGTCCCGAATGGAGTCACATTAATTGCCAAGCATTGGGGTAAGATTTTTTTTTTTCTCCTGACAAAATTCTGAGATTATTTTTTCCCTCATTAAGTATTTTGACATTGTATGAAAGCTGAAGTTATCACATTTTTCTTTTTGGTAAATATTTTCACATATTATTTGATATAACTAATGATCAATTTTAAAATTAATTTTTATTTTCACATGGTCCAGTTATGTAGCTCCAGATTGTCATTCCACTAGCACCTTCACTGAGGGTAATGACATTTATGGTTTTGGATTACTTATTATGGAGATTATAGCAGGAAGGAAACCATTATATCACAGTCTACCCGAGGTACCGCTTACCAATATTGCATTCATCAATTGGTGGTTTACATTTCTGCTTACATACTTGCTTTACTTCATATATGCATATCTGACACTGATGCGTTCGAATGCTTCACCGATGCATATATATAAAGTATCCAAGCCTTTATAAGAGAAGTTATGGAAGTCTAATACAACCAGATATGAGACGTAAAAGCATGTATAAGATAGAAACATCATCTCTTGATGTACCAAAAATGGAAGCTGTCTTCTTTATGAATGACAATCAAGAAAGGAATGAGATTGATAATATTCATATTTAAAAACAATAAAATGTGATTTGTGATGATAATGATTTCTAATTTTTATTTTGGTTTCAATAATATCCAAGAATTATATCTTAGTTTGGATTTAAAGAATTTCAATTTTATATTTATCATGTTTAACATACCTTTCAATTAATAATTTCAACACACTCCAAATTGCAGGGTCATATAGTAGATTGGTTCAAATCAATGATTTCCAATGGAAAGATTGCTGACGTGGTGGATCCAAAATTGCCTGAAAAGCCTTCTTCCAAGGAACTTAAACGGATTATTTTGGTTGCTCTACGATGTGTAGATCCTGATGTAAATCCTAGACTCAAAATGGGAGATGTGGTTTGCATGCTTGAGAACAACATACTTCTTTTTGAGGTAATTACAACCAGTTCTTCATTGTTTAAAAATATTCGTACTTTAGACCTGCTTTTAATTCCCTCTTCCTCATTTATTGAAGGAACACCGAATTGCCATGGAGATTTGTGAAAACAGTCACTCTCCACAGAGTCAGCAAAGTTAGGTCATATATATTTAGAGAGAAGTAGAAGGCTAAGCATCAGCAATCACTACCAGTAAATGGCACGAAATTTACAATATGGTTCCTATTAAGGCTATTGGCACACAGAACATGAAATAATTTTTCAATATTTTCATATAGTCGTGTTACTTGAGCATAATTTATTGAGTCAAAAGTTAATGTACTGAGATCTGAAAAGAATTTATCTTTCTATTCACATTATTAAGCAAGGCGACTATTCATCCTATGAATGTGTGCGCACGAGAGGGACTAAATTACAAATTTTTCAAGCATCTCTTGCTCCTGTCCAATATGTTTCTAGTATACCATAGTGTAAAATAGGACCAGACTCTGATTATATTTTGAGAAATCTCCTTAAAAGGCAAATTAAATCTTGTTCAACCAGGATAATGAGCTAAACAAAGCTGTTAAGTAGTCATAACAATGTAAACCAATTGGCTGTGTATACACTATAATTTCAAGTGAGTTTTATGCCACATAACAAATTGTAAATGAGCCTTGCTAACTACTGCCCTGAAGACATTAGTTAAGGAATCAATATACACATTAGGATGCGTTAGAAATGTGTACTGTGGCACTGTAACAGATCCTCTATTGCATTAACGTCAACCTTGCATGGACCAATGCAATTCGATAATTTACGTAAGGTAGACATGGTATAATACTGATTACAGAGTATGACAATCCTAACATTTTGGTAATAAGAAAAATAGACCATGCCTGTAACTTCCGTTTGATTTCATTTTCTACAAACTCCTATATGTATGGCTATAGTATTTACTATATTATTAAAAACCCTATATATATTCATTCTCTCAGAAGAATTTAATAAAGGAACAAGTCTTCAGCTGAACACTTTCAATGGGCAATTCCTCATCTGGATAAGGACACTCAATTTTCTCTTCCTTCTGTGGCAACAATTCACAAGGCTTAGGATAGACATCACCTGTAAGCCCTTCAACATTGGTGCAATTCCATTGCAATTTCTTTGCCTTTGCCCCACTATGGATAGTCACGTTAGAAATACAGATTCCTGTAAAAGGGTCATTAGGAATTCCGTCAAGTCTTGCTGAATAAGTGACATTTTCTGCAATCACATCTCTATAATTTATTCCTGTAATGTTGGGAAGTGCTTTGGGATCAAAGTCAGGGTCAGGGTGTGATCCATAAGAACCTGTCATCCAAAACACATATTTCATTGTGTTCAAGTTCATTCCTTTAACAAATATGTCTTTAACATATGCTCCTCTACCAACTGCAGTTTTGATTCTAACTGCCGATTCAGTATTGATTGCTGTGAGGTCTTCAGCTCTAACATCTTGGATTCCACCAGACATTTCACTGCCTAATGCAATCATAGCACTATCAGGGGATACACATTCAAGCCTTTTAATTATTATGTGTTTGCTTGGCATTCCAAATTTGATTCCATACTCATCCCAACCACTTTTTACAGCAACACAATCATCTCCAGATACAATATAACAATCTTCAATTCTAATGTTGGTACAAGAATCTGTGAAGAAGGAGGATATAATTACACAACGGTTGAAATTTTGACCAATTTAGTTAGTAACAGTATATAATAACAAGTAAAAAATTGTGAACCAAATTAACTGCATCCACTACTTAAGTTTTGCAGCATGTTGCAAAGTTGAAGAGTAAAATGAAAGTTCTGTACAAGTAAAAACTCAAAGTTAATGGAGGAATGACAGTAACACACTCTTCAACATATTTCTTCTTCTGATTGATCTATTTTTCAAAGAGTCAAAGCTATTTTTAAAATTTGACAGGTAAGTGTTTGATTTTTTAAAAATAGACCAATCACAAGGAGTGTGTTGAAAAGAATTTGTTGATAACATCTTTCAAGTTATTGGCACTTGTAATCTTTGGGACTAAAGTGGAGGCTTATTCACTTTCTTTTCATTATAAACAAGTACAGAATATATCAGTATTATATTCATCAGCTTTACAAAAAAAAATCTCTTTCCCTATTGTTTTTTCAATTTCATTCTGTTTTCCATTTAAAGCTAGTAGAAATAAGTATATAAAAGAAAAATAAAAATACCTGGGTCTATTCCATCTGTGTTGGGAGAGTCAACTGGTGCGATAATGGTCAACCCTTGAATTACAATATTACTGTAGACATAGGGAGTAGTAAGTATAACAGAGAACATTGTGCATCAAGATCAACCATCGATGAAAATGAAAATCCTTGTCAAACCTGCTATAAATTGGATGGACAAACCAAGATGGGGAATTGATCAATGTGAGATTTGATATCTGAATTTGATCAGAGAACATAATCTCAATCATGTATGGCCTTGTGAGTTTCAATTCATCCTTGTGGAACTTGTCCCACCAATAAGATCCTTGCCCATCAATTGTCCCATTGAAACCTAATGAATTATTCACAATAGTTAACATTAAGAAAAACTTCCAATTAGACATGACTTTTAACAGCCTATAATAGTGGTAAGTGATGGAGCTAGTAGTTACCAGTGATTATAACATCAGTGAGGTTTGTTCCAAAAATTAGACTACTGAACCTTCCATCAGGAGCATCCCTTCCTCTTCCATATGACGGTAGCACAGCAAGTGTAGGCCACTCTGATTCATCCTGTCAATGTTGACCCATGGTCAATGAAAGTGTCTATTCAGAAGAAATAATAATAATAATAATAATAATAATAATGAGGATGATGATGATGATAAAAAGAAAAAGCTATAAATTATGATGTCAAACACAGCTGAACTAACATTTGCCAAGAAATCAAATTTGTGGAAAAAGTGAATGGCTAGTGACATGCAATTAGGAAACCAAATTCTAATGGATGTACTCTGTTAACAAATAACAACTGCCTTGTATCTTCAATTAATGAATTTTACAATAAGAAATTGGAAAATCATTTTTGCACCACCAAAGTGAGACATCTTTTGGTGTCTCCTTTGAATGCAGTTAGTATTTTCTTATTATGCAAAAGTTCAAAAAGTGAGAGAGATCTAGAGATAATTATATACGATGTTACATACAATATTAATTTTTAGATGTTCAAATAACAAAATTGTATAAAATATGGTACACGTGCCATACCAGAAAGAGATCATATTAAATATTTCACAGTTATACATAAACACAATTTTCTAACCTCACATTTCAAATAAACATGACATGATTGACCACATGCTGTAACATGGGGCAGTAAAATATTCTGCAAATTTAACACCAAAAAAGGGGAGGGGGACCGAGAAAAATACCTGGGATGCAAGAATGGTAGCTCCTTTTTGGAGAAAAAGAGTGAAATGGCTAGTGAGATTGAAGCTTCCTGTTAGCCATTTCCCTGGTGGAACAACAAGTAAGGCTCCCCCATCATGTGCATAATGACTCAGATTGCTTATTGCATATTGAAAGGCCTTGGTGTTACATGTTTTGCCATCACCAACACCACCAAAATCAGTCAAAACCGCAGTGTGTTTCCTGCAACTGATAGCTGGGTACTCAAGCTCATCCAATCTACCAAATACTCTGGATTCAGCAACCCTCAATCCTTGTAATCCCAATAACAAAACTGTTATGATAACCCCAAAAACCTGTAGAAAACCAGAGTTTATTTCAAACACTAAAGCAAGGAAATCTTCATATTGGCTAAATGACCAGACACAACAAGGGACAAGTTTTCATGTCCTGAGCTCATAGTTTTATTATAAGGTTTCAACTTAGACCACAATATTATGGTTTCATAGGTCTTCACAACCGCAATTGTGACTACATCAATCACATTTTTCTGCAATTTTATACATTTCACAACAGTATTGTAACCACAATTTAAAACCTTGAAAGTATATAAAAGAAATAAGCAAAGGCACAAAAGTGGTTCAAGTTCCAGAAACCAAAAACGATTAAAATACTTGAAAACAGAAGTACAAGTGTGCATTAGGAATAAAAAATATACATATACCAATAAAATTCAGAGCAAAACATTGTTTGTATCTCAGAAAAGCTCAATGCACACGTAAAGAAAAAATAAAAGAAAAACAATTACATAGGAGTTACTGAGTTTTGGACACGGCTTCATGGTTTTGACTGTGACTATGATGTTTGTTTCAGTTTTCTTTAGAGGCACCGAGGACAAAGATAAAGAGGTCATATATATAAAGAGAATTGGTAATGCATATATCAGAGGAGAGATTATCGGAGAATTTCTCGATCAAGGTGATTTTCAAAGCTACATAGAGTGTTGAAAATTAATAACGGTCACATAAAGTATATAGTTACGTGTTAGGAAAGCACAGTATGGTCACATGTAGTGGCGGTTATAGGCAAAAGTGTTTACGTGCATGGGAATGTACTATGATGTTTTCCCATTTTTGAAATCTTTTTTCCATCCATAGACGATTTGAGAGGATATTTATGCCATGATAGTTAGGTTTGCTTCTATCTTTAGCTCCTATGATTTTATTTATGTATAATTTTAATCTATTTAATTATAATTATTTATTTAATCTTCTTAATTTATTAACTGTTCAAATTTAGTTCCTCGTGTTAAAATCTCTCTCAATAATTTGTAAGGTGTATTATATTATTGATTTCTATAAATTAATAAATAAAATATATAAAAAATATTTGAAATAAAAATAATAAAAAATTTGTATAAAATTTAATAAAATCCTCCATAATTTATTTATTTTACATAGTTTTTCTTTATGATTCTATACAAATCTCTTATCTTTATTGTATTTCTATCAATCATTAAATACAATTTTAGAACAAGAGACTTAATTTAAATAATATAAAACTATAAAAAATGACTATATATAATTAATATTAAAGAGAAAAAATCACACATAAATTAAATTTAATAACTAAAATATAATTAAGCATAAGGAAATTTTGAAAATTTACTTGATTGTTGGAACTTTTTTAAACAGTAAATTGCTTAATTCTAAAAGTACTGGACGACTCTAGTAAGAATATAGCAATGACATGACAGAAATGTTTATATAAGCATTTGGTTTGAACATAAAGTACTGTTAAATAAAATAAAATACTCTTTAAAAATGTTAGGATTCATTCCTTTTCATACTGGAATTAACTATACCTGATTGAGCATTCAATGGTACACAACAGGTGACCAACCAAATTTGAATTTGACCCTTTCTTTTTTCATACAGTGTAAAGAAAAGAACACAAAGACACTAATGGAGGAGACTCCCCGTAACTAAAGGCAGAATCAAGTTAGAAAGCAACATGAGACAAGGCATGCTTTAAATATGGGATCATAAAATGAAATTATACTTTAAAATGATAAAATATGGAATCGTGATTATTGACTGAAAAAATAACATAAAATTTTAATAACGTTTTGATTTTTAATACAATTTGTTTAACCTGTGTAATTTTAAATACTACATTGTTAAGTAAAAACATATTATATACAGGTTATTATCATGTGATAGTATGTGAATTTTAAACCCTTCTACTGCGTTAAAATATTTTTGCATAAAACTCTGGTGCAATTTCATTATTCTTTTTACTTGTTAAAAGAAGGTTAACGCTTGCATTAAAATATTAGACTTCTCTAATCAGTTAGTATGATCATGAGGAGAAAATTGTCTTTTACTAGTTCTTCCCTCACTTATTCGTATTAAATAGTTCTGTCCTATTTCTACTTGAAACGGTCAACCAGTGTAACGAGAAACAATGAAATTGTTTATTATTCAAATTATTGATTGAAAAAGTAAATGCCCCCTTTAAATAGCCAATATTGAAGCCAACAATTGACGGACAAATTGACCATGACCGACAAAGGTTTTTATATGTTTAATAATAGTTTCGTTCTTATTTATAAGAAAAATATAGTTAATTTATTAATTTTTAATAAAAAGTAGTTATATTTATAATTTTATACTTTAAAATATAATTTTTTTAAAATTATATACATGTAAAAAATGTTTTCGTATAATTAAATGATGTATGTATGTGGGAAGAGAATACTCTCCATTTACTTAGATAGTCCATTAGAAGAGAGTAAGTGTGTATCTATCCTTCATTTAAAATGAATTAAGTTCGTAACATATTTTAATTTAAATTAATTAACTGTCTTACACGTCAAAGAAGAATTTCCAAAAGGCTGCAGAAGAAACCAAATCTAACAAACTTGTGGCGTTTCCAATTAAACTATGTTGCTTGAATACATTGTTGTCAGTTTTTTAATTGTTTGGGATATTCTTTCATAAGCCTCCAACTATAGCTTTCTTTGAGGGTTTTTTTTAGTTATAGAGGAAAGCTAAAAAAAAGAGATGACAAACTAAGAAAAGAAACATTGCAAGAATGGAAAGCAAGATATAAGTTTAATGAATTTAATGAGAACTCTCTTTTCAAGCTGCTAGGGACCATGATAAATTGGTGTCAACTCAACATAATATTGTCAGCCACACCCACTGATGCAAGATAAGGTAAATAGCCCCTTTCGAGCAAAGGCAAGGCTCCAACAAAAACAGTAAATTAGTCAAACTTTTTCTCCGCTATTTCATTAATAAGAAATGGTAACATATAGTGGGAATGGGTTATGCATTTTGCAGATCAAATGCCACATTGGCTTCACGAGGAAATGTATGGAACGAAAATAAAAAGGAATTTCTGTTAACTAATTGCATCTTCTTCGTCATTCTTTGTGGTCTTCTCCTATTGGGCTCGCTTGTGTTTATCAGTCTATTATCCATGTTGTCAACTTTACCAGTTCCTGGGCCCAAAACATCTTTTGCCTTTGTATCACTCACACTACCCAAGAAGCCACTCAACCACCTCCCAATATTGTTCCTCAAGATACCACCATAACTAACTAATCTCCCATTGCCTTTGGAGTTTCTATCAACGTCGAGTGCAACTCAACCAACATCAAGGCATTGCCATTTGGCCCAATGTTCAATCATATATATATATATATATATATATATATATATATAAAGTTTAGAAAGAGTTTCCTTTAGAGCTAATTGTAGAAAACAACTTGAGTTTCAACATTCTTGCCTTAGATCTAATATAATAGTTGAGGGATCTTGTTGATGGGCTTAATTGTTATAGGTACAATTGTGAAGTTAGTGTCTATAGGAGATATCATATTTATTTTGCATGGTTTGAAGCATCTTTGGAGTGTTTGGTTGGGTAAGTTTTTCCCTTCTCAATCCTTACAATTAGCACAAGCTAAATTTTTATTTCATTGGATATTATTCCTTAGTTATAGCTCTCAATACAAAGATTTGTTTCACCATCAAGAAAAAGCTACATATCTTGTCATGTTTGCTTTGATAATTCTATTTTACCTTACAAATCTTCATATAATCTTTTTCTATCATACCTTGTTACTCCAATCAATGTTTACTCTAGACACTAACTTCACAATTGTACCTATAACAATTAAGCCCATCAAAAAGATCCCTCAACTATTATATTAGATCTAAGGCAAGAATGTTGAAACCCAAGTTGTTTTCTACAATTAGCTCTAAAGGAAGCTCTTACTAAACTTGATTGACTCAATGTAATGAATGAAGAATATGTTTCCTTTTTTAACAAACAATACTTGGACATTTGTTGACTTGCCACTCAACAAATCCCCAATTGGATGGAAATGGATCCTTTTGCACCAAGTACAATGCTAATGAGATATTGCATAAGAATAAAGCTAAATATGTAGCAAAAGATTTTCACCAACAGCCTAGTTTTGACATCATCAAAACTTCAAAGCCAGCACATTAACATCATTAATGCCATGTTTAATGGTATCTTACTTGAAGAAGTATATCGTCCAACTACCATGATTTCTCTAAAGGTGACAAGCACAAAGTTTGTATATTAAATAAAACGATGTACACACTTAGTTAAATAGGACCCCCAAGAGATTGACAATAGAAGTTGGAACAAGCACTCACCTCACTTGGTTATTTAGCTGCAAAAAAAGTGTTAACTTCTCTTTTCAGGCATTTTTTATCTACGTCTACATTCTTGGGTATATGAATATTATAATTACTGAAACTCCCATCTGAATCCAACTTCTTATATCATGAATGAACTCTTAATTTTCTCTTAATGACCTTCATCCCCTTCGTTACTTGTTTTTTATATAATGTATGTCAATTTATGCACGTTGTTTACCTTGGTTGACTAATTCCTCACTTGTTTGAATCTTCAATGTTGTATCTATCTTATTGTTACGTTAGAATAGGAGATCTCACTTTTCTATTACAATAGTTTTGGATACAAGTCATTTTGTAAATTGCCTATATATAGACGTACGTGTACAATATATTATGTAATGCAAATTATAATTTCATAAACCTTTATATGGTATCAAAGAGCCTTTAGCCTAACAAGCCATCTTCGATCATGTTTCAATGGTCACCTCCACCCTCACCTCCTCTTCTTCCTCAACACCTCCTATGGAACTCAATATAGCCACAACACTACCCATCAAACTTTCCTCCAACAACTATCCCACATGGTATAAGCAAATCACTTTGGTACTTGATGCTAATAATCTTCTTGTTTATGTTAATGGCACCTTTGAATGCCCTTTTGCTATAATTGACATCGGTGCAACTGTTATTGAAAATCCTGCCTTTCTCCAATGGAAACGTAAGGACAAATATATTTTTCTTGCTCTTTTGGGATCCTATGGCTCTGATGCTCAGATTGTCACATCTTCTACCGCCTCTTCTTCTGATGCAATGTTGAGACTGACCAAGACTTATGCCAATCATTCTCGTATGCGTGTTATGTCCCTTAAAGAATGGCTGCCTTTATCACCAAAGGTGATTTCAATGTCTACAATTACCTTTGTTCTATCAAGTTCATTATTGGTGAGCTTGCACTTATTGGACATCATGTTAATGATCTTGACCTTATGATTGCTGCTCTCAATGATTTTGGTCTTGGCTTTCGTGAATTCAGTGCCTTTATTCGTACCTGTGGATCTCCTTTCCTGTTTGATGAGCTATACCATAAATTGGTTGATTATGAAATTTTTATTCAAAGGGATGAGCGTCATCAACATGTTTTCCTTGTCACTTAAATCTTGCTTCTCGCACGTCTTTCTCTCATGGATGCCACAAACAACCCACATCTTTTCCTAGCGCAGTCTCCTTTGGTCACAGTAATCTTTCTACACCCTCTGGTTCTACTTGTCGCAACTCATGTTCAAGCTCTAATCTTGTATACCAATTTTGCGATCATCATGGGCACACTGCCTAAACTTGTTACAAACTTCATGGCTCTCCCTTTAACCATCCACGCCATCAAGCAAATATGGTGCAAAAGGAAGCTAATCTTAAACCATATTGGTTGTTTGACTCTGGCGCCTCTCATCACATTACTCTGATCTTGTCAACCTTTCTCTAACTCGTGAATATACCGATAATGATTAAATCGTGGTTGATAATGGTAAAAGACTATCTATCACTCGTAGCAGCTCTACTAAACTTTCAACCTTATCCTCTTCTCTCCACTTAAACGATGTTCTCTATGTCCCTGACAATTCTCAAAAATTTAATTTTCATATCCCAATTGTGTCAAACTAATTTTGTCCGTTGAAATTTTTTCCCTGACATTTTCAAGTCAAGGATTTGAGCATGGGCGCAATTCTGCTTTGCAAAAATAATCAGAATAATGTGTACAAGATTGCTTGTCAACCATCCCTTCCCCACTCTCATCATGTTTAGTGTTCAACTCCGTTATCCTCTTGGCACAGTCGTTTACGTCACTTTGCCTCTCATATTCTTCATCATGCACTCAAGAAAAATAATATCTCATTTTTGTGTTTGCCTGTGTATTGTTTATTTTGTCTTTCTAATAAAAGTCATAAGTTGTCATTTGCCAAGTCTACTTTATCTAGTGATCACCCTCTTGAACTTATTTATTCATATGTATGGGACCCTACCAGCACCTTGTAACGTACTCATTTTTTCTAAATAGTTAATTTGTTAATGTAGTTATAAGTTAGAGTATAATTCTCAATTTTTTTAAGAAAGTAGGGATAGAATTAACATGAGATGCTTTAGATAAAATTGTTAAGTATACTTTTAAGAAATTTTAATAATTTTTAATTTTAAAAATTTCAAGTTTCAAAAAGTGTCCATTGGTACTAATTAAAATTGCTTTACGAGGCTAAAAATAGCATTTTATTTTAAAAAATATTTATATTCTAGTTAGAAACATTATTTGGAGTATAAAAATAATTTTTTTGTAATTATTGAATTGTTTTTATATTTTTTGGTTAGTTTTAAGTAAATTAGTTATACGTGTAAGTAAAAATTTGCGTAAAAATTTTTTTTTGGCATAAATTGAAAGGGAAATTTTTTTATAAATATATTTAATATATTTCATGATTTTTTTTAAATTTTAAGATTTTTATCTAATTGTTTCAATTAATTACAAAAAATTAGTGAAATTCCTATTATTATATTATTATTTTATTACTTTTCTTACTATTTACGATAAGATCAACCAACCAAACCTCAATTTTTTTCTCTTGTCTGCTGTGGAGTGCTCTTCTTCTCCTCTTAAAGGTTTTGAATTTCATTGGCTCTAATCTTTTGATTTTCCAAGTAAGTTAAAAAAAAAATTACTATTCTGCCTATTTTTATTATTTTGAACACTTTGAACTGATTGGATTTTTTATTTTCTTCCTCTTTTTGAGTGTTGGAACAGTGGCATGAGGGGTGAGATTTTGCCCAAAGTTTTTGCTTCTAAGTTATGTTTAGTTAGCTTAATCCTTCTATGGTTTATAATAGATTTTTATTTTTATTTGCTAAAAATGCACTTAGGGGTTCAAAACTTTTGTTTTAGAGGTGTTGTCTCAAGAATGTAAGAGAGAAAAATAATTGTTTTTGATTATCTCTATGCTCATATTATTTCATTTAAAGTATAGGAAACAATTGTAGGACTCTTAAGTCACTTTTGCAAAAATTGGAAAATGGTAGTTTCAACCCTAGTAAATGGGTGAATGATTAAAGTCTCTTAACATTGATTATAATTTTATGTGTGATTATTTGGTTAGGATTGTGATTTGAAAAGTGGTGGAAAGAAGACGTTATTGAGAAAAACCGGTATACACTTCAAAGTAAGGGAAGACATATTTATTTTTCAAGAGTATAGTATAAAAACGTTGGGAGAATGAGTGTTTTATTCCTTGCTATATACGTATAAATTATTTGAAGGCATTTATAATTATTACCATACTTAATGTACAAATGTTTGATATCCCTTCTTGAGATTGATTTTATATGTGATGGTGTTTCTATGATAATTGTTTTGTTGAATTTAGTATAATTAATTGAGCTTATGATATGATGTCTTAGATGTATAATGGTACATTCATGTTGAGTGCGCATATAGAAAGTATGTTGAAAATTAAAAAGAACTGGAGACTTGTGAAACAAAGATGTTTAAAAAAAAAGGAAAAAGATTTGAGGTAAAATTTGATGGGTTTTGAAAGTTCTGAAAAGTGTTTTAGAAACTGAGGAATGGAATTGTAGCTACTTTTCTTCTTAAGAAAATGATTTTTTTTAACCTTCTTTAAATTCAGATGGTTTGATTCAAAATTGTACCCTTAAATTAATAGTTTTTTGTATATTTAAAATAAATAAATAAATATATATGTATAATTTAAAGGATTTTAACTCATTTTAAAGTATTATTTTAAATGAATATTTTGAAATGTGGTGATAATTGGAAAAAGGTATTTGAGAGCCATTGGAGTGGCTGGAAAGTTGAGGAATGTGGTGATGATGAGTCTCTGCTTAAAATTTGAAGTGTATTAGAATTTTTTGGCTATTTTGTAAAGAGAAAAAAATTTAAAAATATCTGAATTACAGAGAAAACTCTACCGGATTGTCGGTGGAATTTTGAAATATATGTTGTTGATTGAAAAGAGAAGTTTAATACCTAATTAAAAGACTGAAATTAGGTTCATGCATTATAAAGATGTGATAATGGTGGCATTGGATAGGAAGTATACGAAATCTAAGAGAGACTCCAGGTTAGTCTTGGGGATAGTCGGGTGTGATTGAGTTAGGTAAAGACCAGGGCTCGCAGCCCTGTGCTATCGGTTCTCATTGCAAAACTAGACTATACTGACAAAACTTGATGCATTCTCAGAATTAGTTGAGTTATACCTTTGAAATTATCTGATGAGATAGTTATGACTAAGAATGGTTGGTGGCAATGAACTCCTGATCCTTCCTAGAAAGAAAGAAAAAGAAAAAGAAATGGTTTGAGCTCACAAGCATGTGTCAGTATAGCAATTAACTAGGTGATGCACAGAATCATATATGGCATGTACATTGTGTGTTGAGTTGTTTGCTATTTGCTATGATGATTATAAATATCTTGACGTGTTTTCTACTGTACTTTGGTTGGGATAGGTTTATCTCACCCTTTTAGTTGTTATGTGTGTTGTATGTGAATATGTTTAGTAGGTGAGGACACAAATGGCCCGACCACTGTACCAGTTTAGCATCACAATTAAATATGATCCTGAAGAAAGATTGGCGCACGATTGAGAGCAACAACAGTTCACCCACACTGGCACTATTACCTTTTTGTTAGATAGAAATGGGCCAGGCCCGTGGGCATACCCCATCCCCATCAAGGTACCCATGAGATTCACTTTTCCATTTTCTCTTGGAGTATAGTTTATGAGACCCCATGTCCCACCTCCCATCCCTGTATTATCACCCTCGATATTACCCCTGAATTTTCTTAGATCTTTAGGACCTTATGTACCACCTGTTGTATGACCCAATATAGCGAACATACCTCTATCCATACATATCTCTATCTCATCCACTTTTATTTCGACTTCCTCTAATTCTTCTGACTCTTTGAATTCTTCTTACTGCTCAACACTCCTATGCTACTAGAAAGAAGAGGACTACTTCTCATGCCAAACTTCCTCCTAGTCTTGCCTCCTCTGAGTAGGAACCTAGTGGGAAAGGAGAGTAGGCTAGGGATGAGTAAAGGATAGCCTGTTCATATATGTAGGTATAATTACTAGTGACCGAGAGAAGGGTATGTGAGAATCCTTAATCATTGTTAACTTTTGGAGGAAATGGTATTTTTGATGATCATGGGTCTAGGGGGAAAGCCTGTGAGATCATTTTTTGGTTGTTGTCTTTGATATCGTGACTCTACTTTATTTTGTATGTAATTCAGTTACATGTATATGTTTAGATGACTGGATGATTGTATATTTTGACAAATGATATATATATATATATATATATGTGTGTGTGTGTGTGTGTGTGTGTGTGTGTGTGTGTGTATTTGGATAGCTAATGCAGATGGTGTATTTGGTTTCTATTTATAAGAACAAACGTGAACTCATACATGTGATATTCTTACTGCTTGATTTATTTTATAATTATATTTATATTGATTGCATAATAAATAGTAAGGGTGTCACACACCTCTTTAATAAATGGTTGTGTTTATTATGTCATTTTTATTGATCATTTCTTCAAGTATGTTTGCTTTTATCCAATTAAAAATAAATTTGATGTTTCTAAATTTTTTTCTATTTTTAAATCTCTTGTTGAAAACTAATTAAACACAAAAATGAAAGTTCTCTGTTCCGACAATGGCGGTGAATATTTAAAATTGAGATATTTTCTTCAACATGTCATTGTCTTCTATACAATGCTTCCTTACCCTCCTCATTTTGGTCCTATGCCCTTCAAATTGCAGCCTACCTAATCAATTGCATGTGTGCCCCTAGTTTAAACATGAAGTCCCCATTAGAGATTTTGTTTAATTGCCTACTCAAATATCCAAAGTTGCGTACTTTTGAATGTTTTTGTTTTCCTTAGTTGGTTCCATATGTCAACAACAAACTTCTTCCCAAGTCTCAGCCATGCATTTTTCTAAGATATAGTCTCACTCAAAGTGGATATTTGTGTTTTAATCCAAAAATAGAAAAATTGTATACTTCACGTCAGGTTCATTTTGTTGAAAACTTGTTTCCTTATTTCACCCACCAATCATATCTCTCACCCACCTAAGCTAACTAATCTCTCC